AGGCAGTCCGAAAGTCTTTTTCCATGGCCTCTCCGAACTCCTCCCACACCCGAGTTTTTGCTTCAGCCACTGCCTGAGCCGCATTCCACTTGGCCTGTCGGTACCTGTCAGCTGCCTCCGAAGTCCCACAGACTAACCAAGCCCGATAGGACTCCTTCTTCAGCCTGTTGTGTTCCCAGTCTCCCTCGGAATGCTGTTGAAGCTCTGCCGGAGGTGTGCGTTGAAGATCTCACGGACTGGGGCCTCTGATAGGCGTTCCCAGCACACCCTCACTACGTGTTTAGGTGCACCGGGTCTGTCCAGCGTCCTCCCCTGCCACCTGATCCAACTCACCACCAGGTGGTGATCAGTTGACAGCTCAGCCCCTCTCTTTACCCGAGTGCCCAGAACATATGGTCGCAGGTCTGGTGATATGATTACAAAATTGATCATCGACCTGCGGCCTAGAGCGTCCTGGTGCCACGTGCACTTATGGACACTCTTATGTTCGAACAAGGTGTTCGTTATGGCCAAACTATGATTTGCACAGAAGTCCAATAACAAAACACCACTCGGGTTCAGATCAGGGAGGCCATTCCTCCCAATCACGCCCCTCCAGGTCTCGCTGTCACGAAACACGTCATATTTTCTCTGAATACGGGACGATTCCGTTTTTTACGGGACGGTTGGAAACTCTATTTTATTCATAAGGTTAGTTAGTAAAGTTCTCTATCAGTAACATCATAGCAACCACCCAGCTGTACAGAAACTCCGTCATGCTAGCTAGTACGCAGTACGAGTTATTGTAACTGACGGTAAAAAGTCAGCACAACGAAAATACCTAAACCTAACCTAATGAAACCTGAACCTATACCTAAACTTGGTTTATATCTGACCCAGATAGACTGCAGGTCATAACTTCTTACCTGAAGTTCAGTTCACCTGACACTCGGACCGGTGTTGTGCCAAAAAGTGATTGTCTGCCAAAAACGGATTGCTCGTATTTAAACTGCTATAAATAACTTGTTGGTCTATAATATGTGTCTATATGTCTAATATGTCTATAATAACACAGAGTTATAAAGATACTTAAAAAAACAGGTAATTTTTAAATTTTATATATAATTCCTTTGTAAACCCTGTTCACCCAACTCTATTTACCAACACATGTAAAGATATAAAAAACACACGGAAACATTGGAAATCAGTTTTTGGCAGGTGATCACTTTTTGGCACAACACCGGCGGCTGCCTGGGGTCTCTCCTTCTCCTGCCTCCCCTTTCCCTCATCCACCTGCTGTCCTTTATGGTAGCGATGGTATGGTATTGTACATGTACAATGAAAAAAAAAAAAGTTATTCTATAAATTGGTGTCATCTGGCTTACCATAATTTGAACGTTTGCTAAAAAAAAGATATTAACTAAACCTAAACCCCATCATTTTTTTAACAACCAGTCACTCAACACTCATGTTCACACTTGTGGCACCTGAAAGCCCTTCCACCTGAAAGCCCTTCCGTCTTTCCCGTTGTGAAGGTTTGAAAAAAAAAAAACTACATGGCATGGCTGTGTTAAGTTGCTGAGGCTACAAAACAGATGTATTGAATATGTGACTGGAAAACAGATGACTCTGTGACCTCCAAAGCAAATCCAAGTCTACAGTGATGAACTGTATATCTGCTTGTGCGGCAGTGACCCAGAATGTGTACATTGTCCTTCCCAAAAATAGTCTCAACAGTAAGTGTGGACAAGGGCATATTGTTTCAGTGGCACTGCAAGGGCTACTCATATGCTCATAACTAATAGCATTGATTCTACAAGCTGTGTTGATCAAACTCCTGTCGAATCATAGCGGGAGGTTCAAAGCTTAGCTATTAGACACATGCTATGGCGCAGACCATCTCCTAAGCGAGCTCTGACTGTTCTGTTAAGAAGGCAGAATTAGATTTCAAACAGAGTGGGAATAAATATTATTCTGTTCTCAGCAAAAAGCCCAGAGTGGTGTCTATGTGATACACCAACCTTTTAATGGAAGCTTATCAGCCATAGCCAGTGCCCTGCAAGGATTCTTTCTAATACTGCTGTTTGCTCACAATCAGCATTGTGTTTAATAAATGTGGCTGAATATTAACTAATCTTTTGATCTCACTTTCATTAGGCCACCCCAAGAGAAGTGCATTCTTCACGACAAATTAAGACCCCCCATGTCCCCGCCTACAACCCTACATCTTATACTCGTGAGGGAAATGAGCAAGGACACAAATGCTCTTATTTAAAGATAACTGGTAAACTGCTTTAATTAGGCCTTGTTTTCAAAGTACCCAACTTTCTTTGGGAGGGATGTTATTATGGGGTTTTTTTTCTTTCTTTATACTGTTTGCCAGGCCCCAGTTTCAGCTCATTTTAGACAAACAGCATCATACACACATACAGGGAGCAGTTTTTATACTGTGCCAGATTTACTCCTGTAGTATTTTAGAACATGTCATGTAGGACAGGATTGCTCCTGCCGTTGGGACAGCTTTTTCATTCAGTGATGACATGTGCCCAATTATTAGGTCCTTCACAGAAACTCAAATGCTTCTCGGCCCACCTATGTCTCATCATAAACAAGCTACAGGACCAATACTTACACTATGATCAATGATTTTCCCTAAAGGCCAATAACACACCACATTGTTAGTTACGCTTTGATTACTGAGACACTGTAGTGTGTCTATTACTTTAGTGTCACATATATCTTCAAACACAGAGTGCACTGTATGCTGACTGGGTTGAAATGTACTGTATGAAAATTCAGTCTGCCAATTTTATTCACATCAGCAGCCATACTTACATAAACCATATAGATTTAGATTGGTCAATAATGCACCAGTGCTCCAGATATACTACAACCTGTTCTCCATCAAAGCAATATAAGGACACATTTAGGTCATAACTAATCAACTTTTATTCTCCTGCCTCATTAAAGTATACCCTTAGCTCATAAACAAAGGACTGAAAACATGCTCACCTGTTCTCTCCCCCCATTAGGTCCGCATAATGCCTACTAATTATGTTTGCTCATCTATAAGCCTTAATTATGCTGGGA